GGTACGCCTACCACAAGATATAATAAAATGGGAGCGGGTGGTACGCCTACCACAAGATATAATGAAATGGGAGCGGGTGGTACGCCTACCTCTTTTAACTTAAACTCAATTATTCTTAACTCATTCTTCCCAACTCATTGACCCATTTATGTGCAAGATTTAATCATAACCATCTAATCTGATGGTTATCGTCCCTTTCCACCTTCATATAAAATATCCAATTATAGAAACCTTAACCAAGTTTCCAATTCCTTGAACTAAAAAAATGAACCAGTCGCGTATCAGCTTGACTCCATCTCTCCCATTTTCCCAAATCACCATGGAAACTCCATAGTTACACAGCTTCCCACCCTAAAGCTCCCCAAATAGCTGCAAAATTCACCATGATTAACACCAATTTTCAGCTCAAAGCCGCTGCAAAAACGCAGCACTTCTCCCCCCAAATCAGTTGCAAAATCCAGTCGAAGAGCTGCTGAAAAATAGCCCCGAAACGCAGCAGCAAACAGTCCTAAAATCAGCACTCCACACTAAGCAAGAACAACTCTATCTTCAGCCAAAAACCCAGCGAAAATTCCAAGCCAAAACTCCATGAAAGGCTGATGAAAATCAGTCCAAAAAGCAACAAAAACTCAACAACAAAGCACCAAAAAATGCTGATAAATTCTGCCCTTCAAACAACCACGCAATCCCAGCTTAAACCGCCGAAAATCCAGCCTTAAAATAACCTCAAAACAAAGGTCGTCGGCGAGTCCGATTTCCTCGCCTGAAATTGTCGTCCGAAGTGTAGTTCGCGGTCCTTGTTCTATCTTGTTGCTGCTGTATTTTCGTGATTGGATTCGGTAGATTCGAGGTGATGTTCTTGCGTTCTCTCGATTAATCGAAAAGTTTCGCGCGATAAGGTTCAATCCTTTACTCATTCTAATGTTAACTATTTGCTTGGTGATCCGATTTTATGACTTGTTATCTATGATTTTGAATGTGTCTGCTAGTATGTCTACTTGAATTGATTGCGAGTGAATTGGAATCGCACGTTTAGTTACACGAATCGTATGCTTACTTTGAATTGGAAAATGGAACTGTCAGTTGTTGAACTTAAAAGAGCAATCTGCGGAGATGCGGTTAAAAATAAAATTGGACCTAAAATTATGGAATGAGATAAAATACAGTTGTTAGTATTCTAAATTTTTCACTTACGTAGATCTATTTACTAATTTATCGGTAGGAACATGCTTAGGCCGTCAACACTTGGGTAAGCAAGCCTTAGGATTTTTATTAGTTTTCGTGGCGAGATGTCGTTCCCTTAATTAAATTTATCCGGAGAATGCCCCGAGGGATTTGTATATATTTATCCAGGGTATGCCCCGTAGTATTTGTATTCGGAGACCGAAAAATAGAACTTGTAGTATTTTTGTTTTATTTTCAATTTTTTTTTCTTTATTTTAGGCGGGGACGACCTCGAGCCTCTTTTGTGTTTATTTTTCTTTTTTTTTGTGACTTTGCCTCAATTCGAACATTTTAAAAGCCGTCTAGATCAAGTACGCAACCGTACTAGTTACAGGACTTGGGGAATGCCTAACACCTTCTCCCCGAGTCAAATGAACCCTCTTACCCAAATCTCCGATGCATACTCAATTTGGAGTCCAAAGTGTTTTAAAGGAAAAATTATTTTTTTCAAAAAAAAAACGATGACCTGGCATACCGAAATCAAATGTCAGGTGGTGACTCTAAGTTATTTCCTTTTGAACACAATTTTGTCACGTTCTAATTGGAAAATTATTTTCAAGCTTTACAAATCTTTTTATTATTTTAAGAGAGTTAGTGAGGTTTGTAAAGGGGGGTGTGACAGCAATTGCGAATAGTGGTCGCAAATGTGAGTGTAGCAGGTGCTGAAGGGTTTGCAATTGCGAACCTTGGTCGCAATTGCGATATTTACGACCTGCAAATTCATAACTTAGCCGAAAATTTATCATTTTACAAACCCTTTCAAAACCAAAACACTCTAGGGCGATTTTTCAAAGACAAGTACTCTTCCAAATCGATGTAAGTCATTTGTAACTTGTTTTTATTAATCTTTAACATCTTTTCTCATGATTTCAACTCAAAATCAAAGGTTTTCATGGAGAAAATTGGGTGTTTTGGGTAGAACCTAGGTTTTTAAAATTTTGGGGATTTGGACCTCGATTTGAGGTCCGATTTCAAAACAAATTGTATATTTGGGTTCGTGGGGGAATGGGTAATCGGGTTTTGGTTCGAACCTCGGGTTTTGACCATGTGGGCCTGGGGGCGATTTTTGACTTTTTAGGAAAACCTTTAGAAAACATATTTTCATGCATTAGAATTGATTCATTTAGCATTTATTTATATAGTTAAGTAACTTGTGGCTAGATACGAGCGAATTGGTGGTGGAATCAAGAGGTAAAGCAATAGTTGAGGCTTGAATTGTGTTTGTGGCATCGAGGTAAGTGTTTGGTCTAACCTTAGCTTGAAGGATTAAGAGTTGTGTCTTATTTGCTACGTGTTAATTGTGGAGTACGATGTATAGGCATGGTAACGAGTATCTATACGTCGGTGTGAAGCATGCCCGTGAGTCTTGCATTGTAATTTTTATGACTCCGTTGTGGTTTATTCGTGCTTCATATGAGAATTATATTGTTGTTCCCTTGCTGGGATGTTGTTGTTACATTATTATTCCCTTGCTGGGATGTTGTTGTTATACTATTGCTCCCTTGCCGGGATTCTTTTATGATTGGTGTTAATAAATGAAATGAGAGCGGATTGCACGCCTGCAACGGTAATTCATGAAATGGGAGCGGGTTGCACGCCTGCAACGGTAATACATGAAATGGGAGCGGGTTGCACGCCTGCAACGGTAATACATGAAATGGGAGCGGGTTGCACGTTTGCAACAGTAATACATGAAATGGGAGCGGGTTGCACACCTGCAACTGTACTATATGAAATGGGAGCGGGTTACACGCCTGAAACGGTACTATATGAAATGGGATTGGGTTGCACGCATGCAATGGTATTACATGTGTACTTGTTTTTCTTATTTCCTTATCTTTTGTTGGTAATTGATTTATGGCGTTCCTTACATTTCTCTATTGTTATCTGTTACTCCCTGTAACATTTTTCCCCCGCCCAACTTTAGCTGTAATTATCTGCTTTTATTTCCGTTGTATATGATTTAACTGCACAAATTTATTTGGTAGTCTGGTCCTAGCCTCGTCACTACTTCGCCGAGGTTAGGCTAGGCACTTACCAGCACATGGGGTCGGTTGTGCTGATACTACACTCTGCACTATGTGCAGATACTGATATCGGAGCATTTGGACCGCAGTGATAGTGTTGTCTCCAGTCCACTCAGGCGACCCGAGATAGTCCTGCAGACATCCGGGGGCCTTGGCGTCTCCTCCTATCACTTCTCTTTCTGTTTTTACTTATTCAGAGACAGATTTGTGTAATTTCATTCGGACCTTATTTGTAGTATTTTTAGATAGTCCGTGACTTGTGACACCAAATTCTGGGTAGTATTGTACTTTAAACTATATAGCAGTATTTGGTTGAATTATTAAGTATTCATCTTCCGCATTTCCGATTATTTAATTTATTCCGTTTTTTAATCACTTATTATTTTAAATTGTTGAAAATGTTTAATAAAAAGGGTAATGATTTTATAATATTCGACTTGCCTAGCTCCTATGGGTAGGCGCCATCACGACTCCAGGCTGGGAAATCCGGATCGTGACATCCAAGCAAGAACGAAACCGTCCACGAGATCATCCTCCAATTCCACAGTCTTCTGTTGTGTTACCCGAATAATGCCTGGATTTAGCGAAATTCGTGTGGGCGAATTTCTCCTAGGAAAAGCATGTAGTAACAACCTTGCCTCCTTATGGATACAAAATCCACCTGCAGAGTTTACACATGAAAATTTATAAGCTTTCATAAAGGTGTATCATCAATCTCTAGGTCGAGACATGGATTCCATCAACTAACTATTACTTTGCCAATGTATATTATTATTGTCCAATTTACCAGGAATATTGACCCACGAAAGAATCTCGCCTTTTAATAAATCAAAACAATAATAATATACACAACTAATAACAATTATATCAAGATTAAGATTATAAGTACATTTAATAGCTAGAGAGTTTATTTTATTAAGTCAGTATAAAACACTTATCTCTACTTGATCCGTTCAATACATACAAAATATACCAGCACAAGAAGTTGGAATTAAACCATTCCCATAATCAAGATAAATTATCTTTAATCTTGTGCTACAATCATTCTTGATAGTTTGTCCAATTCCATCATTAGATTGTGAACATGATCTTTATACTTATAAGAACCGATGATTTAATCTTTAATATATAAGCTAAACTCTATACACTAAATCATCTGCTATATAAGTAAGACACAGATGAATATATGATCTATTTAAAATTTTATTAAAATTGAATAAGCAATTGTTCCACAATAAATACTATATCCAAACCAAAATTCATGGTTAATATGATATATCCCAACAATCTCCCACTTAGACTTTTAACCATGACAATTAATAGAATATACTATGTCTAAATGCATGGTTAATAGTATATACCCTAACAATTACACAGTGTGGAGTTTACCCAGTGCGCACAGAGTGTTCACCATAGAGTGCCCACCCAAAGTGCAGTGGTTGTGGCAAAGAATGTAGCGGGTAAGGGTTTTCCTGAGATTCCAAAAAAAAATAGATAGATGCTAGCTAGTCTAGTATATGTATGTAATTACGTGTTCTCTTCGCATCGACTCGATATTCTTGTTAGAAATATAATAGATATGCCTTAGATCTAATTTTATATTTAATAATTTGAACATTTTTTTGCGGACATTATTTGATAAAACATATATGCCGTCTTATATTCTTTTATCGAAGCTATTATTAATTTGATTAACTTGATAAGGTTCTTGATTAAATTTTGAGACTTGCATTATTAGTATATTGTATTTGTAAAATAATTCTGGAGAAGAAAAATAATTTAAAAATAGAAATGTAGAAGAAGTAGAAATTAATTTGAGCTCACTGAATTCACATTATTTTCTTAAGTAACTTAACTTTCTCCTAGTACCTGAGGTTGTAGATTATTTCTTCCCATGATAGAATGGATTACACACTGAGATAGCAGTACTTCAAACCTCAGTATTTTAAAGAACACAAATGGTGGCAGCAATCACACTTACATTGTTTGTTTTATAAGAAAACAACGCAGAAAGGAAGAGGAGAATTCAGAATTTTCGTAAGAAAAATCTGAGGGAATGGCCTGCTATTTATAGCCAGCAGGTTGGTTTTAAATGAAGAGGTGCAACTCTTCAAGGTGACCGTTCACGTAAAATGGCTATTATGTAAATGGCTATTTACAAAAAATAAAACGGGGAAATAAAATCGGAGGGTAACTTTAAATTACCGTTACAAAAACGGTCGATTTGGATTAAAAATTAATATTTAACAAATAAATTTGATATAAAAATTAATCAATCAGATTATTTGACCAAATCCGACACCGAGCGAGCGACGATGACGGCGCAAGACTTGCCTTCTTCTCAACTCTTTAAGAGCTAGAAGAAGTGTAATCATATATATACTCAACAAATGAGCTTTCATCCTCCACTATGGGACAATATTCCTTTGTAAAGGAGGGAAAATCAAAATTTTATTCTTCCCTCCATTTCCTATTCACCCCTATTTTAAGCTAAACCAAGCTTAAACCCAACATACATTGTGATGGAGATCACGATAATGAGAGTGAGGTTTCTTTTAATTGAATCTAAATATGTTCTTGATCGTAGGATTATTAATTTGGACATTCATAATCCGGTTAGATCAATATATATGTGATCGTTTTTATGAGATAAAGATTACTTGATATCATTAATTAAATTACATATATAGATGACGCATATAGAGATATGATCATCGAACCGACTCATTGAATAATTCCTAATGGTTAGAATTATCATAAACTGTCAATAGGATATTTTCTTGAAAAATGTGATGTAAGAGTTTCCTTTGACCTGAGATCGTCATAGTAATTGACAAGTTTTTAATTGTGTTTTGATACTAGACATATATGGCTCTATGACGATAATTGAAAGGATATTGGGTACAATTAAATACTTGTAGAATTAGGTACTGATCAAATTCTTGAGAGTAAATTGTATACTTCATTATATCAAGTTGCTAAGGAGTATTGCTAGACACCACTCTTGATTAGTATATTGATGTGGTCAATTTACTACCTGCTTAGTATTGAACCTATGAAGTCGCACACTAACGAGTGTCTTGATCTTTGCTAAAGGATTAATTACTTTATTATTTGATAATTAAATTAAAGAATTTGATTAGTCAAATAAATTTAGTTATTAGTCCAAATAAAATATTATTATATTTTTTGCTAGCACAAAGAATAAAATTAGTATTGTGAACAAATTAAGTTTTCTATTTGGGATATAAAATTAAATTATTTCTCTTGGTTGAAATATATATGTAATATATATAATATCAATTAATATTAATTTATTCTTAGCAATTTGTAATTGGAGATAAAAGTCCATGAATGGACTTGTGGGAAAAGTAATCCAATTTGGACTTGGACTTAACATGAACGTCCACAAAGGACGCGTTTGACAACTTCAATAGGAAATTGGAATTGGACTTTATGGACAGTCTTTTGCGGTAGTAATTCTTAAGAAGAATTACTATTACAAGAAAGTTATTTCTTGTTTTGCTACTTTTGAGTTGGAATTTTTTAGAAAAATTTCAGCACAATATTTTCATTCAATATGTTAGTAGGTTTCATTGATCAAAGAGTTGATAGCAAAAATTAGTCTCGGTGTGTATACGCATAAAATCTTCGCACTATCGAAGAATTTTTGAAACGAGACTCTCTCTCTCTCCTGGCTACGTCTTAGATTCGATCTTTAACATGTAAATAAATTTTAAACACGAAAAAAACTTTCTAGAATTGTTATTGTATAGTCAATCTTATTGATGAAGCTTGAAGCCTAGACTAGCTAGGAAGTTGCAGTATTTGAATTCCTATCTTAGTTAGATTAATTGTAGATATTTTAGGAGTTGTAGCCTTATAAGCGATGGCGAAGCCGGAAAATTCAATAATTAATTTTTTGCAAAGTGTGTTATTCAAAGCGTTTAAAGTCTATTTTTTATTAATGAAAGTAGAAGTAATAATTTTATCTTATACAAAGTATATTTGGCCATTCTTTGTCATATATAGATTTGCCTCTACTTGTAAGGGTGATTGTTGATAAGTTTTTGCCTGCTTATTTTGCTTTCTCTTTTGAGCTGTAAATACTTCTAGTTGGTAATAAAAAATTTAATTACCAAAAAATATTAAATTTAAGAAGATATGCTGCGTATTTTAGACAAACACTTTTATCATCAAGATTAAATTTTTCCTTACGGTGCATATAAAAATTTTAAAAGACAAATAATATAATTTTATCCCGTTTAAAGCAATAGATAATTAATAGCATGTGGGACTAAAAAATTGATTAAATGAACTGGTCTCGGGATTCAACCTCTGTTTTAAAAGGCAGAATTGGGGCTCGCCCTGGGGCGAAGCACTCGTAAAACGCCCTTGGACTTATGTGTGATGCTTAGTTCCGTGAGATTTACGTCTCGGACGTCGCCCAACGCCCAGTGTACTAAGCTTGCCTAATAGAACTTTATGCAAATATGTGTAACTAACCTTGTAAATCCTCAAATTTTCTTAATAAATCGTTGACTATTCAAAATTATTTTTTTTCTTAATCATAAATCATTAGTTGAGAGTATTTTATGCCATAATTAAAATAAAAATTATTGCGCATTATCCACTAAGACTGCTATGATAGTAAATTTTAAATAAATCTTTCATTTAGAAAGTATTTATTTATTTACTTTTGTTATGTCTTTATTATATAATAGTTCATAATTTTTTTTATAATTATTTTTCTAACTATTATTTTTTCACGTTTACGAGATACAATACTTATTAATTTAATAGCTCGGTATTAGCTAGCGCAACTATTTACAAATAATTAATTATCATGGTATAGTTTAGTGAATTATGTGTCACTTTATTAACTTGTTGAAATTTAAATTGTGAATTATATTTTTATATAAATTCTCTTTAATATGCTTTCAAATAGAAAGCATATTAAATAAAAGGAGTATATTTAAAAAAATATCAAATTATAATATCGAAATTCTTTCAAGATTCATTACTCATTAAGAGATACATATAAGATTTCGTATCGAATACATTACTTTTGATGTTTGAGTTGTAACGTTGTTGCAGCTAATTTGCATATTATGATATATGTCATACTTTTCGTATTAATCATAGTCGAATTATAATTTATAAGTATTTTAAATAGATTAGTTGTTATAATTTTGTGATTTTAATGTAATTTTTATAACTATTTTTTATTTTATATCTTAGAATTCTTGAAACTAGTAAAATTTAAAGATATGTGGGACTTACTCCCCATGTCTTAGGGCTTACGCCTCGCCTCGTCAGA